ACGATACGGTTTTGATTGCTGATAATGCGGAGGATCTGCAAACATTAATAGACCGTGTAGTGGAAGCCTGTGACAGATACGTCATGAAAGTAAACTGCAAGACCAAAATTCTTGTAGTAAGTAAAAACGACGTAATACAGCACCAATTAACAGCTAATAATGAACCCTTGAAAATAGTCGACAAAATTACATATCTCGGATGCAGCCTAAATAAGGAATGGGATAACTCACAGGAAGATTTTATGTAATATGCATCTAAACATTGATACAAGAACACGAGTCTTGAGATGCTATGTATTTTCTACCCTTTTATATAGAGTCGAAGCCCGGACCTTGACGGAGGCAACATCCAAATGATTAGAAGCCTTCGAAATGTGGTGCTACCGCCGCATGCTCAGAATTTCCTATATCCATCATGTTACAACATCACCGTGATCCAACGTATGAATAAAGATCTGGAAATTATGCGTATCGTGAAAATCAGGAAGATGACATACTTAGGGCATGTGATATGCAATGAGAAGTATCAACTAATTCAACTAATTTTACAAGGCAAGATAGAAGGCAAAAAATCTTAAGGGCGCAGAAGTACATCGTGGTTTGAAGAACATCAGACAGTGGGCAGGAATTACTACCATACATCTATTTAGAGCAGCTCTCAACAAAGTTATATGGACCAATGTGATTGCCAAGATCCACAGAGGATAGGTACCAAACGAAGAAGACTATGGATACACATATATCTTCGCCAATTTTGGTCTTAAAATTCCTAACGATCCCCTCTATGCCTCTAGATTTTGTCAGCTGTAATGTCTTCTCAGTTTCTGTGTACTTTTTTTCTATTTTCCCTTTCTCCTGATTTGATAGGTAGTGTTCAGTTCCGATATTTTATTTGAAAAGCTTGAGAGTTTTATCAAGGTTCTATGTAAGAATTAAACAAAGGCATTTTAAATGATTAACATAAAATAATTTCGTAAAAGTGATAGAAAATTGAAAAATAATGTTCAAATTCTAAATCTTTATTATCTTAGGTACATAAGTGTATAAGGAACAATTCATAAAATCTATACTAAAAAAATATAACACAGTGCGCAATGACATTAAATACTAAATATATTAAAAACGTAACGATAAATAAGACAGTTCGCTTACAAACACTTGACAATTTTTTGAAAACCACACAAAAGCAAATATTAAACCAAATAATAAGAAACTTATACTTAGGTAAAATAGCGCCAAAACCGCATTACGATAATATAATATAAATAAAATTATTCAAGAAAATATCCCAATATATTAAATTTTATAACACAATAATAAAACCGAATAGTATTAATTTCTAGTAAACTGGCAGCATGTGTTTAAAGTTTCTAGTTATTGACAAATACAAAAGATAACAAGTAGTACCACAGAATAATAAACAATCAGAATGCCCACTCTGCTTGAAAAAATAAGTAGGCGCATCTTGTTTGCGCAGACTGAATCAGCCATGTTTTAAACGGAACCAGTGCTGTTTAGTGACATTTTATCTGATGTGCGTTGACAAATTAACCCGGTTTAATTTATTTACGGCAACTACAGACATAATATGCACTATTTTATTCGTATTGTTAGTTGAAGAATCAATTAAATTATTTCAAATATGCTAAATTATTAGTCTATAAAAATTTAAATTACAGCTCTGTCGTAACTTGCCACAAATGTCTCAATTCGAGTCTATGTTTACGTCTAAAATATGGCGTTCTCGTGCCGACAAACTTCAAAGGCGGCATCTGATTGTTATTTATTCTGTGGTTTTTTTTTAGTACCACAGAATAATAAACAAACAGAATGCCCACTCTCCACGGAAAATTAAGTACGCGCATCTTTACGAGGATTTTAAAGGGAACCAGTGTTGTTTATGTGGTGTGCATGGAAAAAAAACCAGGTTTATTTGACTTACGGTAATCATAGACATACTATAAAATTATATTAACAGTTTTAAATATAATAACATAAATATAATATAATTAAACATAAATGTAAACAATTGCATAACCTCACAAATCATATGTTTGTGTCCTCCTAAAGAGTGGCCCTTCTGATTGTTTATTATTCTGTGGTAGTACTATGGATTGCTTAAATATTACAAAGAGTGTAGTTGAGTTGTAGTTATAGCCTGCCTGCGTGGTTGCATATACACTTATTATAAAAATAAAATGTCTTAACAATCGTCATTTTGTCAATACAATCGACGTCATAACAACGGATCGATTTGCCTAATTTTGAAATATTTGTAGAAATCCAGGTAAAGTTTAAAAGGTGAGAAAATATGATAAAATGGTAAAAAAATAGTAAAAATAATAATTTTATTTTCACATACAAATCGTGGCTATCTTCACGTCTATTTACTTTTTTTTTACTTTTCACGCAAATGACTGGAGTTTGATTCCTCAACGAGGAACAATTTTTTGTTTTTTAGAGATTTTTTAAATCCATTATCCTCCTTATCGCTCGGTATGCTGTATGTTTTTGCACGGTCCCGAATCAATCTGACGGGTGACCGAGACGCCTGCATTATAATATACATAAATAAACACTTATTATTCTGCTCATCGACTTTTCAATTCAGACAACAATTCAGTAATACGTAGACATAAAATTTCATTAACCCACATATAGTAATAAAGCGCTATAATTATTCACTTCTGTCACAGAATAAATAACAATCAGAATGTCCAGATGTCGCCTTTGAAGTTTGTGAGCACACGATCGCCATATAGTAGTGCTATAAATTGCACTATACAATAGGTGTACCTATATCATACTACGATCTACGAAGTACGAACTTCTAGTACTGGCACTGAGTGTGTTGATCTATGACGAAACTAAGTTTACCAAACAAATTCTACGAAAATCTCAGAGGGTGTCGAAGTGCAACGTAGCCAAATTCGACACGATCACGTACAACTACGTTGACGGCGACAGTATTTAGAGTTAGTTCTCTCTTTGAAATAAATCAAGGCAGCGAAGAATTTTGCTAGTAGCAAAAACACACACATGTAATAAAACACTTGAATAGTAAAATTCTTACATAGACAAATTATGAACTAAATATATGGTCGGAATGTCAAGGAATAATTCAGACATGAGATGCAACAAATAACAGGTAAGCAAATGGAAGAAACCGGTCCAAAAATTCTAATACAAGAAGTAGAATATGCACTAAAACAGACAAAAGGGAGGAAAGGGACGGATCCAGATGACATCCGAATTGAATTTCTTAAACTAGCCGGTGAGGAAATGGTAGACATTTTCGTAGATCTGTACGATAATATTTATAGTACCAGCACCACACTAAAAGACTGGTTTATATCGACATTCATAAACATCCGTAAAAAGCATAATGCGATAGAGTGCCAGAGCACCGGACAATTGCACTGATGAATCATGTACTAAAGACGTTCCAAAACAACCCATAATAGGATGTATAAAAAGTTAGATGTTAAAATTAGAGACAACTAACTAGGCTTTAGCGATTGCCTGAATACTAGAGAGGCTATTCCGAATAAATATCCCAAGATGCCTACTTGAAACATAGATATGATGCCTACACCCGCTTCATTAATTTTCAAAAGGCTTTCCACAAGGTCCAACACGACAAATGAATTAATATTATAAAAACAAAGAACATTGAAACCTGTCAAATCAGGATGATCACAAATTTATATTGAAATCAGAAAGTCAAAATAAGTATGTCAATTTTTAGAAGGGGAGGTGAGGGATGTATATTGTCACCACTGTTATTTAACATAGGTGTACAAGTAGGGCATCTTCAAAGAGTCTCAATATTCCACCACTGAGCAAATACACGACGTCTGTAATTTTATTCATGAAGCTCTAGATTGCACTGATGAATCATGTACTAAAGACGTTCCAAAACAACCCATAATAGGATTTATAAAAAGTTAGATGTTAAAATTAGAGACAACTAACTAGGCTTTAGCGATTGTATGAGTACTAGAGAGGCTATTCCGAATAAATATCCCAAGATGCCTACTTGAAACATAGATATGATGCCTACACACGCTTCATTAATTTTGAAAAGGCTTTCCACAAGGTCCAACACGACAAATGAATTAACATTATAAAAACAAAAAACATTGAAACCTGTCAAATCAGGATGATAACAAATTTATATTGAAATCAGAAAGTCAAAATAAGTATGTCAATTTTTAGAAGGGGAGGTGAGGGATGTATATTGTCACCACTGTTATTTAACATAGGTGTACAAGTAGGGCATCTTCAAAGAGTCTCAATATTCCACCACTGAGCAAATACACGACGTCTGTAATTTTATTCATGAAGCTCTAGAATAAAGGAAATACTGTTCAGCAGCCTTTTTGGATATTTCTCAAGCCTTTGATAGAGTTGGCACACTGGCCTACTGTACAAACTTAGAGAAGTCATTCCCTTAAATTATTTCCTTATCCCCAACTCCTACTTCCATGACCGGCATTTGCTTGTAAGGCATTACGATCGGTACATAAGTATACACAAGTATTTATAAATCTAATCAAAGCAGGCGTTCCACAGGGTAGTTTTCTGGGGCTTGTCCTCTGCCTTATATTTACAGCCGATCTACGTACGAGCAAAAATATCATCACAGCAATGTACGCAGAGGACAAAGCAATTATAGATTCACACCCAAACTCCAACGTTGTTTCCTACCTACTACAGACCAATCATAACAAAATACAAATTTGGATGCGGCAGTTGAGCATAAAAGTCAACGAGAGCAAGTCAATCCATATAATATACACTAATAAAAAAAACACATGCCCATCAGTGTCTTTAATTAACCAATAGTTACAACAAAAAATAATGTAAAATACCTGGGTATGCACCTCGACAAGCGATTAACATGGAAAAAGCATATAGTCATGACAAAAAAATAATTGAGCCTTAAGCTTAGCAGATTTTACTGGTTACTAGGTAAAAGATCACAAATATCTACGTAACAAGGCATTAGTCTGTAAATCAGCCATAAAGCTAGTATGGAATTATGGAATACGCGTCCAGGCCTAATGTAGATATCTTGTGAGGTTTCAATCGAAAGTCCTACGCGTCATTACAAATGCACCATTGTATGTACCTAATCAGTTCATTACGCATGAGGTCATTAGGACTTTCAAGATGTTAAAGAAGAGATCACAAATATGCTCTGCGGCTTGAAAACCATCCTAAAAATCTTGCAACGAACCTTATAATGTCAGTACTAAATCGAAGACTAAGGCAACACACTCTCAGTGATATTTCAACAAGATTTCTAAACTAAGTAATTTTTATATTCTCTGCAGATCCCAAATTTACAAATAATTTTTGTTAAAATTAAAATATAGGAAATTGTCATGGCATGTCAACTTATTGCATGTTACTTGTCAAATAATTACAAAATCTACTTATTGTAATTTTATTACAGATTGTAAATAAATGGGAAGTAAAAAAGGGTAGATCTCAATTTGTTTAATAATAAAATTTTATGGTTTTTGATAGAAGCTTGTATACGCCACATTAGTAAAGTGTGTTCATCGAACTCAGCTATTACTCGTTTGATAAAGTATCACTTTATTGACTTGGTACATATAAATAACTATTTTTATTGTAAGCTGTCAGGAAGAGATAATTGTATAATCAAAATGAACGAAGAAACATTTGAAACAGTAAAAACCTGTCTTCATTATAGATTGAACACTATTTAAGGATTCTGAAAATTCTCAATACAACTCTTAATTTCATATACTTATATAAATGGGTTGAGTTTACCGAAAGTACAAACTGATATAGCCGCAAATGTCAAACATGGAACAAAAAAATTGGGTATAGCAGTGGTGGCATGTTTTTATAATGTAGATGCTGTATGCTTCAAATATAAAAATATAAAACTTTAGAAAAGTACATTTTGTTTATATTATGTTTGCATTCTGCAATTTTTGATTTATATAAAACAATGAGTAAATATTTGTTTCTTCAGAGATTAATTGCAGTTAATTATTAGAAATTTTTGTAGCAATTACCCTTTGGTAGATTATGGGATAGATTTGGCAATCGTCAAATCAGCAGTGACCAGAGTACAACAGATGTTTGCAATTAATGTCGAAAGAGAGAAATATCTATCCGTTACTACTTCATATAAATTAAAAATTGCAGAATTCATAAAATAGTATAATCAAAATGTACTTTTTAAAAGCTTTATCTCTTTATATTTGAAGCATACAACATATGCATTATAAAAACATACCAACACTGCCAAGCCGAAATATTTTTGACATTTGCGGCTATATGCAGCTTGTAACTTTCGGTAAACTCAACCTATAAATGTATATATCATAATTTAAAAAAACTCATTTATGCCACAAGATTTGTATATCAATAAAATATTTCTTTAATAAATTTGAACAATAAAATAAGTACAATGTTGCCGTTTTTAGTTATACGTTTAATTTAAAAATTAAATACTGCTTGGCAAAATTCATTTTGCTCTGAGATACGCAAACAAAAGGAAATAGTATATAATAGCTTTCTTTATTTCTACGCACGAACACTAAAATTTGGCAAGACACTAAAAAACAGTGAACATAGGACTTAACAAATTCCAAAAAACCCAAGTCAACCATAGAACAATAGAAATTTAATTTAGGATAAAATAAAATACGATAAAATCCTAAACAAACATGCAAAATAAAAAGTTTACGATATATTACGAAACGCCTAATATATGTGTGACCAATCTAAAGTAAATACACAGTTTTATTTAATTTTATATCTTTTCACAAGTGATATTTTACCGATTCTTTTAATGGTTACTTTTCTAAGTAGAGCAGTTATTTTTATTTAATTTTACAAAATTTTCGAGCAAAACAAACTATATTTTTCACTAATTATATAGGATACTTATATCCTTAGTATAAGGATAATTATATCCTACTATTGCACGTATAAATAAACCTATATTCGAGAGACTGGTAGCGTAGCCGCATCCAATGTTCCGACCTTGAGATTTAGATAGTCTGCCTTAATCATAATAAAAGTGCTTTGCCACTGCGCACTTGAAAGTCAGAGACGTACTGAAATTTGCCAAACAGTGCTTCTTGATTATATGTAGAAATCCCAGCAGGTGCATTACTATATTTACAATCATCTAAACGATATATAAAAATTCAGCAAAGACATTAATGATTTACAGATTCAAGTAATTGTTATTTGACATCCTAATTCAATCTACATAAAAATGTTGTAAATCTTATATGAAAGTAATAAAGAATATAAAATTAAAAATACACTAGCAGTCACTAACGTGTCCAACAATATATAAAAATAAATACAAAACATCATAAATATCATTCATATTTTTACTAACATGTCTTTCTAAACTTTGACGTGGTAAAAAACTGTCAAATGTATGAAAGAATTCTGCAATTTGTTAAAAATGTCTATAATTCTGGTTTATTTTCTTCTTGGCCCACTTGCTGCTGTAAAATTGACACTAATTTGCTAGAGTAAGTCGATTGAATCGAACTTTGAAGCTCGTTGAGAGATTCTTCAGCCTGAAATTTAGCCAAAAAAATAAATACGATTAAAACTTCAACAAACTATTTAGATCAAAACATTTTATATACAATAAAATAACATTATATTCAAAGTCCAGTCATTAAAATCAAAACCGAATAATATTTGTTTAAAAACTTTTTGTTTCTGAAAAATTGTCGGTGTTTTGAAAAATTGTGTAGATCATGGATGGTACTAATAGTAAAGACATCGAATGTCAGTTGCGGACGCGAATAGAAGTATTTGCTAAGAAATAAATGGAATATTATTGTTAATTTAATGAATTAACCGAAAATCTACTCAATATGTATCCATACAAAGTACTATAGTTTTGCGAAGTTTAAGTAAATTACACCAAAAAAAGGTAAACTCTAAATACAAGAGACGGTAGAGAAATATATATATATATATATATATATATATATATATATATATATATATATATATATATATATATATTAGTTTATTAGGGTTGCAGTCAGAATATTGGCCGGGATGAATAAACTGTGTTGTTTGTTTATATCGACAGTCACTAATATCTAGTATTTCTTGTATATATATATATATATATATATATATATATATATATACACTACCGAGCATAAAATTTGGGTATAGAGATAAAGAGATAAAAAGGGCCCCTTAGCCTGCTCGCAGTCCAAATATCAATCCCATAGAACATGTTTGGGATGAGATTAAGAGACGTTTACGGAATCATGTGCCGGCCGCCAGAAATTCGAGAGAACTTTGCGACATATTGGTGCAAGAATACTCTTACGCAGAATGTGAACCAAAATCTGATGCAAAGCATGGCTCGTCGTTTGCAAGCTGTTATCACTGCGGGAATACTCGCTACTAAAGTTCTTAAAATTTCTTTTTTTCAACAAAAAGCACATCAAATTAAAATTGTCCCTTTTCAATATTTAGTATATCAAAGGAAAATTCTTCATTTCCATTATTTTTAATAAACTTTAAATGACAAAAACGTGTTTTCTTTAAGAAATCAGTTATTAAACTATGTTACAACCGAAAATTGTTAGAACAGAATAATAATTTCTAAAATACTCTAAAAAAATTTTATGCTCGGGTAGTATTATATATATAATATATATATATATATATATATATATATATATATATATATATATATATATATATATATATATATATATATATAGGAACTCCAAGTACTATATAGAGATAAAACATAGTTACGATACATTAAGATCAATCGGATAAGATGGGGCATGTACTGAGATCGCATGATGAAAAACTACTAAATACAACCTTCTTTAAAAGTCCAATGGCGGAAGGTTAGTTGCCCAAGAAAAAAATGGAAACATGCAGTAACTTATGATCTAATTAAGATGAGGTTACAACAATGGTCGATTGCTGCACAAGACCGGCAAGAGTGGAGGAAGAAAATAGTAAACGCGACCAAGGCTCACTTAATGAGTTATAGTCCTGAAAGAAGAATGTATATTATGCCAAAAAGGTTCCCTTGTAGTTACCAAATTTAAAAAAGGAAGCATCACAAATACTTACTTGTCTTAAAAGCTGTATAGAATTCCTTAGTAATTTTTGCCACTTTTGAGCTTCTACTGTATGCAAAGCTTCTTGTTGTTGTAATAATTTAATCCACTCTTCGTGAGACTGAGGCGGATTTCTAAAAATCGATTTCTATAATAATATATGTTTACAAAATGCAGTTACGGCTTGAAAATTAATTTGAAAAAAACTAAATTTATGGTAATCACGAAATCAAAGAACATCAGAGCTAATCTTGTAATAGACAATACAACGATTGAGCGTGTGCCCTGTTATAAATATCTAGGTGCTTGGATCACAGACGATACTGATCAAACAAAAGAGATCAGATGTAGAATAGAAATCGCTAGATCAGTCTTTAATAGAATGCGCAAACTCTTTTGCAATCGTGATATCAATATAAAGTTACGAATCCGAATGCTGCGGTGTTATGTCTTTTCTACCCTGTTATATGGAGTTGAGGCTTGGACACTAAAACAGTTGACCATAAAAAACATCGAAGCTTTCGAGATGTGGTGCTATAGGCGCATTCTCAGAATATCATGGATGGACCGCGTCACTAACACGCAAGTACTCCAAACTTTAGACAAAAGATGCGAAATTCTAAATGAGATAAAAACCAGAAAGATGGAATACTTGGGGCACATTGTGAGAGGTGAAAAGTACGAACTTTTAAGAAACATCATGCAGGGCAAAATTAAGGGCAAAAGAAGTGTGGGAAGAAGAAAAATATCGTGGCTTCGTAATCTACGTGAATGGTTCGGGTGTAGTTCGATTGAACTTTTCAGGCGCGCTGCTAACAAAGTAGCAGTGGCCATGATGATTTCCAATCTCCGCTAGGAGTGGCACGAGAAGAAGAAGACAAAATGCTAATAATGCAAGGTCACATAAATAGACTTTATGGAAGACAAAAAATCAGAAATAACTCCCTTAACGATTAAAATTTCCTTTCCCTTATATTGTGTTTCTATTTAGATAACTTAGATAACTTTTTATTTAGCTCATTATTTATTCTTAAATATAATCTTATGGTTGATGACAATTTTCCTGTGATTTATCACATTGTTAGAACTTAGAAATTTCTACATTATGACATTTAATGAAAAATTCTCTCTTAAAGAACTTCATACAATCAAATTAGAGACAATGAATACAAGTTTGAAATCATTCTTATTCCGAAGCATAATCCGGTTCTATGAGCTGTAAAGTTTTAAAGTCTATCAGTAGGGTTCTAATGCTAACGTGGCTGTAGACCCCCTCCTCCTTTATCCGGGCTTGGGACCCGCAACAGTTCTGTTGAGCTACTCGATCCACCTAACAAAACTGCAATGTATAAAAGAATAGACACTAAATAGGAAAAAAGAACGGAATGACCACATAAGTGATCGATAAGAACGATAGAATCCTCTTGTTACAAATAAATACATCACCGGTGAACACTAACATTATACAAGTCTATGCACCCACAGCAGACTACAGTGATAAGGAAATATCAGAATTTTACAAACAAATAAGCAACCTTATAAAGGATATACCGAGACCACAGTATAGTGCTTTAAAAAGAATCAGTAGGTTCACTCTACCGCCAATCCTTTGTTCTTCATGTTCCATTTTTTTTCACGCGCACATGCTCCTCGCGCAGATAAATTCCAGTTTTTGATACACTGCTCAATATAATTTTTAATACCCTGCTCGAAAATAAATAGGAAAAGTTTGACTTGTGGCGACCTAAAATTTAATTAGATTTTCGGAATAATGAATACTTTCCTAAATTTAGCGTTTTCGACAATTATCAATAGTTTCCAAATAATTATTACTGTTTGTCCTTCAAAATGTTTTATGTTGAATCCATCAGTTTTGATTAATCGAATATTAAATTTTTTGTATTCATTAGAAAATCACGTTGTATTCACTGTTACTGGTGAGAAATCTCATAAAACGAAGAGCTAATAAGAAAACTAATTTCTATAGATGAAAAAATAATACAATCGAATTATAAATTATATTTTCAGGATTTGAATTTTACAATACCAGTTATAATAAAAATAGGATTATAAAAAACACAAGTAGCGAACTATGAATACAAGTTAGAATAGAATATATATATATATATATATATATATATATATATATAATATATAATATATATATATATAATATATATATATATATATATATATATATTCACAATTACAACTTATTAATAGCAAAATAATGAACACTGAAAAAATGTCATATAGCATAAAGATCCCACTCTAGGATCACTACTTTCATAACGTAGTTAGTCAAGCTCATATTTTTACGTACATTTAAAATTGGGAGAATCTATTTATATAAAAGGCTAGGATGACAAGTCACACTGTTTGTTCAGTAAGCTAACTACGCCACCTAGGAAAGAAATCTGAACTACCAACATCTACCAAAATTAAATATAATTAAGTAAAAGCTGTAAAAATGCTGTTGAGACAGAAAAAAATCACATTTCGGCATTGGAGCGTGTGATACGTTAAATGAAAGGGCACTACACAGTATCTTCAATATTAATAAACATATAGCGACATACGAGATATGATAGGGTACTATGAATAAAATAGATTTACCATAAGACAAATTTTGATTTTTTGACTTAAAGAAGGCCCCAGGTTCAGTACAAAATAAACAACTGATTGAATCCTAACATGCGACATGGCAAATGAAAGGGGAGGATATAACGAATATATTTAGATAGAAAAAATTAACAAGGCCACTGCGCAGTATTTTCAATATTAATTAACATAAAGTGACAAACAAGATAGGATATGATATACACTATGATATATAAAATAGATTTCCTTAAAGACAAATTTTGATTTATTGACTTAAAGAAGGCCTCAGACTGAGTACAAAATTAATTGATCGAATCCTAACATGCAATATAAATCTTCTCAGCTATTTAATATTCTGTTTTAAATGGTTCAAGAAAGTTATGTTTTTTACATAGCTTAAGTTTTTTAAATTTAAAATTTAAGTTTTGTTTTTAATACTAAAGCATGAAGAATCAAACCAAAGCTGGATTTTAGGACGCCTGTTATATAGTTTCATATCATAATCCGTTGTTTAAAATAATAAAACCACTTAGAAAACTGGAGGAATATCACAGTAATATGTATTAAATACGAAATAAACTTACAAAACCAACTATATAACAACAAATAAATGAAATTTATATATAAATTACTGAAATAACTGTAGTTTCACAGCATAAACACAAACACGTGGTTGGGTAAAATCAATGTTGCCAAATGTAATCAATCAATGGATAGATACTTATGATTAATTATTTGAGAATAGATTAAGTCAATTAGGCAATATGATTTTTCAACTTTAGAAGTGTGTATAGTGGGTATGTGAAGAATTTTACCATTTATGAAATTTATTTTCCTCTTTTTGAAGAACTTCTATAACAGTTATTTTATTATAAATTTGGAATATTCTTTGAAACTGATAGCATATTTTAAATCTTGCAACAGCGGCATTTTTCGCCAAATCCATTGCGCACGGTGTGGCGGGGTCCTAGGAGTGGATTCCAAATTGGAACCATAAAAATGCGAGAGTGAACCTACTGATTCTTTTTAAAGCACTATACTGTGCCGAGACATAAACTCTCTATAGTCATGAGAGATTTCAATGCTAAAATACGTAACGGAAAAGAAGGGCAACATAATCGTCCTTATGGATTAGGAGAGAGAAATTAACGAGGAGAAACAATGAGTATCTTTGCAGTTGAACATGACTTAATCGCGCTAAAAACATTTTACAAACTGCCATCTAGACGCCTGTATACGTGGGAATCACCTAGAGACAACGAAGAAGACGTTGTTATAAGAAACCAAATAGACTACATACTTGTGAACAAAGGATATCGAAATAGTTTCAACAGTGTTAAAACCTACCGAGGCGCTGATATTCAATCTGACCACAATCCTTTAGTGGACGCGTCTAGAACCAAGTTAAAGAAAACACGCGGAAAAACTGTAACAAAAACATGACGTAAGTAAACTAAAATGTAGTGAATTAAAAGAAATAGTTAGCAAAACAACAAGTACAAAATTCAAAAAAATCGATAATACAACGGAAAGCACAGAAGAGAAGATAGAATCCCTTAATAAAACGATAGACGACATTAAAGACAATTTTATGAAAAACTAAGAAGCTAAGAATAAGACATGGATGACGATAGAGATTCTGCAGCTGATGGAACTGGAAGAACTGGAAAAAAATGCCAAGAAATCGGAATTCTACAAAGTAAATACGACGACCTCAACGTGCATAAAAAGGTAAAAGAAATTACAGGCAAATGTAAAAACACAAGAGTAAGTAAACTTGGTAATGACAACGGAGAGGTAATCGTGGACTAATATCGAGAACGGAAAGGTAATCGTGGACAAAGAGAGGATTGATAATACCTGGAAAAATTACATACGAAATTTATTTTTTGATAAGAGGGAGAACCAGTCCCCAATACCTACGGAAACAGGACCACCTATACTAGTTTCAGAAATAAGAGCAGCCATAATATCACTAAAAGAAGGTAGAGCCCTAGGACCAGACGGAGTACAGTCTGAATTTCTTAAACTTCTTGATAATGAATCTTTAGGAATACTATGTAAAATCTTCAATAATGTCTATGACACAGGCAATGTTCCAAAAGATTGGCTAGTTTCAGAGTTTAGGCTAATAAGTCTAATGAGCCATACACTAAAACTTTTTCTTAAAATTATACATCGCAGAATATACAAGCTATGCAAAGAGAGAATACAAGACACACAGTTTCGATTCATGAGAAGCGTAGGTACGAAAGATGCACTGTTTAGTCTACAGATATTATTCCATAGATGCAGAGGTATAACTTGCGATATCTACACCTGCTTTGTGTACTACCAAAAAGCATTTGACACAGTTCAACACCGAAAATGATGGATGTTCTAACAAAAGCTCAAATAGATGATAAAGACCGGCGTATAATTCAAAATTTCTACTGGAACCAATCAGCCACAATAAGAATAAATCTTGCAGATGAACCGATCTAGATTCTGCGAAGCGTAAGACAAGGATGTATACTTTCACCTATATTATTCAACCTATATTCAGAGAAAATATTTAATGAAGCCTTGGAAAATTGCGAACATGGAATCCTTTTAAATAGAGAACGCCTAAACAACATCCGCTATGAAGATAATACCATTATTTTTGCAGACAGTTTAAACAGTTTACAGTAACTAATAAACGGAGTAAAAGAAGTAAGTGAAATATTTGGACTGCAAGTTAACATATCAAAAACTAAATTTATGGTCTTCAGCAAAAATAGAATTTGAGACATCCAACTGCTTATCAAAAATACACCAGTGGGCCGAGTAAAACAGTTTATCTATCTTGGGACAATAATAAACGAACAATATGATCATTCACAAGAGGTAAAATGTAGAATATATAAGGCTAGGAGTGCATTAAACAACATGGCCAAACTCTTTAAAAGCCACCACCTTAATCTGGAGATAAATATAAGGCTGCTACGATGTTATATCTTCTCGATATTATACTACGGAGTTGAATCTTGAACACTTACTGAAGCGATGAAGAAAAAATTTGAATCCATCGAGATGTGGCTATACAGAAAAATCCTAAGGATATCCTGGACGGACAAGATAACCAACGACACTGTACTACAAAGAATGGGGAAAGAAAGAGAAGTGATGTAAACGATTAAAAGGAGAAAGTTAGAATATATCGGACACAATGAGAAACGGCACTAAATACAGATTACTGAAAATAAAGGCAAAGTATTCGGACAGCGAGGAATAGAGACTAGACAGAAGAAGTATCGGACGACCGCGCAAAATATGCAGTGATAATCTTCGATAGAGGTATTAATCCGCCAATAAAAAAAGCAGAATTGCTTATAAAGAGGAAGAAGACTATAAAGTTTAACCAGTCTTTACATTCCATGGGTACAAAGTATCTAACTAATTATATTTATATCAGAGAGAGAAAGAGAGAGAGAGAAATTTATTGTTTTTAAAATGAGTTTACATTTATAAAACACAACATGGTATAGTACCAACAAGGCACAAGATACAATAAAATACTAATTATAAAGTTTCCATAATTAAAAAAATATGTCAATTAGCGCAACTGTCCTCAAAAAATTCCTCTATACTATAGTAACGTTTAGAAAATAAAAACTTATTGAATGCTCTTCGGAATACAAAAATATTGCTTGAATATCTTATATCGAGTTGTAGGTGATTTAACACTTTCTTACCAGTGCAAACAAATGATTGTTTAATTAATGTAAAGAGGGAGTTGGAAGTGTAATAACATAATTTAAAGGAGTGTTGTAAGGGGAAACTGTCCGAATATCCTCTTTATGTTTTTTAAAAATTAAGCACGCTAATTCAAGGATATACATGCAAGGAAGTGTCAAGATACCATGTTTCCGCAACAGAGGCCTGCATGATGTACCAAACTTGACCTTGCATAAATATCTGAGTGCTCTCTTTTGTAGCATAAAATTTCTACTGAAATGGTGAAGAGAACAGCTACCTCAAAAGGAAATACTGTATCTCAAATTAGATTCAATCAGGGTCACATAAACACTTTTTGCAATCTTGAAATCTAAATGGTGAGTAACTGATTTGACCGCAAAGCAACCCGATGATATCTTTTAGCTTAAAAATACAAAAATACAATGTTGCTCAGATTTAAGTTTATTATCTATATAAAGACCTAAAAATTTGTTTCCGGTGTCAGAACAAATGCCTTTATTGCCCAAAGTACTGTTGTTTAGATCATTCTTAAAAGAAATTAATTTGGTTTTTGAAAAATTAAATGTCAAATGATTAGCTTTGCACCACTCGAAGATTTTTAGCATATCACTACTAATAATCTCATTCAGTACCTTAGAGTCCTTGTTTTGCCATAAAATTGTGGTGTCATCTGCAAATATAGTAAACCGGCCATTAATGTCGAGGTTACTTATGTCGTTAAAATGTATCAAGATAAAGATAGGACCCAAGACAGAGCCTTGAGGTACTTCACAATAAAAAGATTATTAGAGTAGCGTTCATTGATTGATACAGACTGGCATCTGTCTTTCAAGTATGAACTGAACCACTTTAGAGCAGTGTCTCTAAAACCATATCTTTCCAGTTTATTATGACGTATTTTATGATTGACAAAAGTCAAAGGCTTTAGATAGATCACAGAAAACTGCGGCAGCAACATAATCGTTAATTAAGTATAGTTTTTCCATAAATTTGAAGATGGCATCATATGTACTTTTTAATGACTGGGAACCGAATTGGAAGGAAGAAAGTAAATTGAATTTTTGTAAGAAAGTCATCATTCGGATTTTTACCAATTTTTCTACAACCTTTGAAAGCGACGGTAACAAAGAGATAGGACGATAATTGTCAGGTAAATCGTGGTCACCACCTTTATAGAGAGGACTAACCTTAGCACATTTTAACCAATCGCTAAAGTGACCCGTTGAAAAAAATATTTTAATTTCCTCCGCTAAAATTCTCAAAACATTATCAGGAAGAAGGGATAAAACCTTAGTGGAAAGGTTTATACCTTCCCACTAAGGAAAGAGTTAGTGGAAAGAAAATAAAAGGAATTTGCAATGTTTACTCCATTTAAAATATGCATTGGATCAGCAGAAAAATGAAAATATATCAAAATTCATGATTGCGTATTATATGTTTTTTAATGTAATTTAACGATCTTAAGTTTTTGCAGGAAATTCTAATTCCTTTAGTAACCCAAGTTTTCTTAATTTTCGATTTAAGAATTCTTTTTTGAAATGCTAAATTGAAACTTATTGAAAATTGACCCATTGGTCAGAGAAGAAGAGGAAGACCTAGAACAAGGTTCCTCGATAACATCGATGAAAACATAGGAAATATGGGAATACGTGCTTGGCGGATAAAGGCGATGGATGGGGACTATTGGAGAGAAATGCTTAAGAATGCTAAGACCCACGTAGGGTTGTAAAGCCAGAATGATGATGATGAACTCCCAACTCGCGCCTCTTCACTACTTTGGGCTAGTGTACTTTGTAAAACAAAAAATCTTTTAATAGTTTAATTGTTTAAGAATATTTTACGGAGGAAAAAAACGATGATTTCTGTTATCCTTTAAAATGTGTCCGAAAATCATTCAAAAATTTAACATATATCGCCAAAAATGTTTTTTATAAATAAATATTTTACGTTGCACAATAAAGCAATAGTACATTATGCGACAAAAACAAGCTACAGCAATCACGAAACAATGAAAAAACACCGTCTGTTTTTACTTACTTTAATAAATGTAAATCCAGTAAATTATACGACGGTGCCTCTTCTAAAGACCACAATTTGACGTATAACATTACATTTAATACCACTAACATTAATAATACAGCAAACACTATCATTGTACATACTTCGCTGCTAAAGATACCTTCGGTTGGTTTCTTCTTTGCCGGCACACCTGAAAAAATACCTTTGTTAGTTTTCAATAACTAAACAATTTCATTACTAAATCAATATACATATAAGAATCCATAAAAGTAATTAACCCATTAGCTCCTAGCGTTGCTTTTATGTAACAATGCAGTAGCGCCATGCAACCAAATGTTCTGGCGCACGTGGAATGAATTTTTGCTCAACAACGAATCAGTTTGTGTCAGGAAACATTCCCGTTCGAAGTAATTTGGTTAATACTTGTTATTATTTATGTGCTTTGAAATTGTATTCCTTTAAAAAAAGAAAACATCAATATTATGGGCGTCGATAAAAAGTAAGTATAATTATCATATTTTTTAAGATAAAGCCGTTATAAGTTTAAAAATAGTACAATTATAATATGTAAATACATGTTTTGTATGTATACTGAACTATATTTTTTGCATGGAAGATTTATTAGTCTAGAAATTGAATTCTTACATATTTGTAACGATAAGCAGTAATGTAATCACTTTTTCTACGTTTTTAGTATAGTTTATGTCATAAAGATTAACTGATACATTAGAACAACACGAGACAAAGGACAAACAGTTTAAAAATTATTTTAAAATTAAAGAAGTTACATATTGGGTGACAGCAGGAGGGAGTGTGTGTTCTCTCTCCTGCTGTCACCCAATATGTAGCTTCTTCAATTTTATAAACATTTTTTAACTGTTTGTCCTTTGACTCGTGTTGTGTAAATGTATCAGTTAATGTTTATAACATTCACCATATTGTTGGATAGCCTAATTTTGACGAAATGCTCCTAAATATGCTCTAGGAGCGAAAGTACTTGGGCAAGATTTAGTAAAAACTGTGCCCAATATCTGCTAATTGTTTAATTAAACAATTAACTAACAATTTCCAAATTGCTCAATTTTAGAAGGGCCAATGTTCAAATTTATTTTAAAAAATACGCATCAGCTCTCAAAGGCACTGGCAGAATCTCGTCGCCATTTTCTAATGCGCAAAGAATAACTATTAAAATTAGAAATTAGAAAAACTAAATGTATAGTGATCAGTAAAGAGCCGCGTAGATGCAAACTAGAAATAGACGGCAAAATTGTAGAACCCGTATTGAAATTCAATTACCTAGGAGTAGTGACGGGAATGTAAGAACAGAGACCACAAGGAAAGCATCAAAAGCGGCAAGAGTACGTGGTTGCTTCCGAGAAACCATATAGAGAAACAAATATCTGACCACGGAAAGCAAAATGAAAGTATACAAGACAACAGTAAGACCAATCCTAACATATGCAGCGGAGACAAGGACCGATACAAGAAAGACGAAACAACAAATCAACAATATCGAAATGAAAGTATTGAGATCAATAGCGGGCATATTAGCGAACATCTGTAAAAACAACAAACCGTATAGCAGAAGACCCGTTGGAAGGCCGCCAAAAAGGTGGAAAGATAATGTACAGTCAACAACAACTGAAACAGAATAAGAGGCAGACAAACAGGAGTAATCCTAGTCGCACGAAGAAGAAGAATTAGATATAGATTACCTTGTTAAAAAAATTCTAAACGACAAGAGAGGACGTTATGCTGGAATATTTTGTTAGAGCTCAACAACTGCTCAGTGCAGAAAATGTGATGTAGGCGCTTGCCTAGACTATTTTTTTGCTTATAACAAAAATGATGCATACATGAATTGTTTATTTCAAGTTTTTTTGCCATTTATAAATTTCAATGAAACTTTTAATTACTGGGTACATATCGTCGTTAGGAATGAAATATCTCCAATGTAAAAATATCCAAATTTTACAGGAGACACAAAAAACAGTTAAATAACGCTATTTTATATTGTATTAAATTAGTAATTGATTTTTTTGGTCAAACCAAGATTGATATTGATATTAAGGTGAAATTGATTCCTTAAATCAGTACAAAACATTAAACTAATAAAAAAAATATTACAAACGCGCACATTGGAGAAATTATAAATGATTGAATCGGTACATAGCAGGAATTTCAAATATTGTGTATGGCATGTCATAGTACTATACACCTTGAATTTGGTGTTATTAGGGGAAAAAGAGTCATATAAACAGTAAAGTGATTTGTATTATCTTTATTTTAAATAAACAAACTTCGACATGTTCGTAAAACACACGTATCACATTGATCTTTCCTTTGCTTATTATGTATGCCAATTTTCTCTGCTTCTAAAACAACTTTAAACAACTTGATATGAGCAACTGACTGCTTTCTATCATGGCACCATTCTTTATATAGTCTGTACATGTAATTTGTTGTTATGATACTGTTGTCAACATATATTCTGCTAGTAGATGCTCTACAATAGTGTGAAGGAACTTTAGGAATATCTTGCAACCATTCCATAACATTATGTTCTTTGCAAATTTGTCTCATTTTTCTTGGAGTAATCTTGTTGAATGTTGGAATCTTGTAGACTTTCACTAGAAGTATCAATTTCATGAGTGGCTGGCTCCCTTGAGACTTATCGTTTCATTGTGTCTTCTCCTAAATTTAATGTGTTCAAAAACATAACTCGGCATACCTTGAGGTAACGTCCGTCTTTAGAAACAAAAAAGTCACGAACACTCTTCTTTTTGGACCGTTTGTCTGAATTTTGAGTATCTTTTCGGCGCCTTTGCACTGCTCTTGCCCGAACAAGATTTTTAACATAAGTGCTTCTATGTTCCTACGACGTTAATGTCCAATTTTTTTTAAAAATTCGTAGTCTATCGTCCTGCGTAATTAAAGAACATCTAAATGAGTGTTCTTTTAAACATTTTGGCGTTATAATATGGTTACATCTCTCCTTAACTGACATGCCATTCCGTCTGGTAATATGTTGTACATCACCAAAAAACAAATTTTGCCTTTTTCTTGTTCTAATATAGTAGCTGCAGGCAAACTGAAATAAGAACAATAATTATTACCTACTTAATTTAAGCAATAATGAGATGAAAGATATCTAACCGTAGTAGTGAATTTGTTTACATACCTGTTTTTGGATTTTTCATTATAAATTTCATTTTCAATAGGAGGAAAAGTTTGGATAGAATTTTGCCGATATTCCTGTGAATTTTGTATAACTATTTTAGTTCTTGTCTTGAAAACACTCATTTTGCACTGGTGAATAGCTTATTTGAGAAAATTTGAGGATAGGAATTTGACAGATGAAGGTATGAAACACCTCCAATGTGCAGATATTATAATAGATAATAGCTCCAATGTGTTTTTTAAGCACATTGGATTTATTTCAGTCCAACAATTAATAATATGTTACATTGGAGTAATGCATTTTTATACATTAGGGAAGTTAGGAATCGGTACGCACATTGGATATTTTTCTAGATTGTAAAACTATTCATAGCGATTCAGAATCGTTTAAAATTTGAATTACTAAAAATTTGCACATTGGAGGTATTTCATTCCTAAGGACGATATGTACTATGTAACGTGCCGTTCTGACTAATCTAAAAATGATATTGCTTAAATGAATGTTTTTTCTTAAATTCTTACATTTAAACCAAAATATATTAAAGTTACGAAAAAAATTTAAAAAAATCAAAGCACTAATAGGTTAAAGTTAAGTAAAATGAAAGATATATTCTGCAGTCTTAACACATCATTTAATAAATTCCGGACCTCTAGATCATCATCATCATAAGGGGCTCGACAATTCGTTGTGGATCTTGGCCTGCTCACAAAGAAGTCGCCACTCCTGTCGATTCCTGGCAACTTTCCTCCATCTTCTAACCCTTAGAATCTGTAGATCTTCCACATCATCAATCCATCTCATTCGTGGTCGTTCTCAGCTTCTTGAGCCCTCTGTGTATTCGTGATCTGACATCCTAGCAATGTGTCCAGCCCATCTAAGTCTCTGCACTTTAACGAATTTCACAATATCTGGATCGGTGTATAATTGATATAGTTCAAAGTTGTATCTTCGACGCCATAGCCCATTTTCATTTACGGCCCCAAAAATCTTTCTAAGAATTTTTCTCTCGAAAATACCAAGAAGTCTTTTATCATTTTGAGATAAGGGTCATGTTTCAGCTCCATATATCAAAACCGGTCTTATTAAGGTCTTGTATAGCTTTACTGTACGTTTTATACTTTTTTTTTTAATGTTTCTGGAGACCGTGAACAGTTCTGTTTGCTATTGCTATGCGTCTTTTTAATTCGTCGTTTGTCGTGTTTGTTGCGTTTACTATCGATCCAAGATATGTAAATTCTTTGACTTGCTCAAAGGTATGGTTGTTAATTTGAATTCTCTGTTGGATATTTCGAGGGTTTTTAAAAACCAACATATATTTGGTTTTTTCCTCGTTTACTACAAGTCCTAATTCACTTGCTGCGCCCGCAACATTTGTAAAACACTGCACCATGTCTCTCATACGGACCTCTAGATGGCACCACTAATTTAAATTCCTATAATTTAGAAAATACCAAACCTTCTTTGTAAGTTTTATTTGGACTCAAATAAACAGGCCGGACTGTTTCAAAACATGCACCAACTTTAACTTCACCCACTGATATATTCGACAACCCAACCCCTCCTTCCTATTTGACAACTCACCTCATTTTGAAATCCCATATGTATTGCGAATTTTTCACAAATAACATTAAATTTAAAGAAAGTCTGCCAAAAAGTTAAAAAACTTGAATTTCAATGTAAATTCAATTCGCAATAAAATTAGACAAAAGCAAATTCAATATAAATTTTGAAACACCCTCATAAATGCTACTTACTTTCTTCGATAGCACCCCTAGGACTATTGTGTATTCTTCTTTTCCTCTTTGATTTCCTTTTAACTTCAGGAACACTTTCTTCGGCTTCCGCATGCAACGCTCTCGATAAATGTGCGGCATAGTCTTCTACGCCCGCATAACAATTTCTTTCAATCATACCTAAACATTGAACAATCGTAAATAAAATGATCGTTACAGTGAATGAAAACAAATTAAATTTATCCAATTGAGTTCGCGAGTGCATAACTACTTTATTGTTGTTATAAATTTTAGTTTGCTTACTCTTTGAAATTTTATCAACGAAATTATATTTTGGTGAATCATCAAAAGTGTTATGCATTGGCTTTTTGAAGACAGAAAAGATGTATTGGTTTTAAAGTCTTACAAACGATCACTAGATGGCACTTTTGTGATGTATCAATATTAATGCTAAAATCTTATAAGTGTAAAAATATATACACATATTTACCTTTAACTAAACCCCAAACAGACTTTTTGTATTTCACTTGTGCTATAATAGTTAAGGAAGTATGTGTCTCGGATATTTTATTAAGACAGTAGTGAGCGTTGACACAAAAACTATCGGCGTAAGGAACTCCAGCGTTTAAGGACTCTATATCTATTGAATACAATTGACCTGCTTTGCTGCAAGGATTCATAGACTAAAAAAAATGTTTTATTAGAATGTTCTTTACGATGATCATTAATTTTTGTGATAAGAAGAGACTACTTCTTATGGCTCGGTATTCCTGTATGTTTTTGAATTTCTTTGTTTTATTTTTTAGAATATAATGGTAATCAAAATGAAGTGATTAAACATAAATACAAAATAATAATGAAAATGTAAATGATTAATAAATTCTATATTAAGTAACTGTGCCTAACTTGGGCACTGCGGCTATAATGGGCACCCCGGTGATGTATTAATAAAATAACGTTACCGTGCATTTAGTCACAAAAAAAGTAGTGGTGTGGGTGGCCTTGGCTCTAAGCTTACCCATCATATAAATGCCCTCAGGTTGACTGTGAAATGTGAATTTTGTAAAGGGTTGTGAACTCAAGCGCCAAACTAACCTCAAATTAGTGGATTTACTAAGAAGTCAGTTTTTTTAATATTTATTTTTCATCAAGTTTATTTAGTTTTTTATTGTGGGATTGCTTTTGTTCATATATTTAATTAATATAATTATTAAACAAATATCCAAAAATATAAAAATATATATCTTATCGGTTTTGAATACGGGTGCTCAAATTAGGAACGGATTGTACCAGTAATGGGCAGTGTGCCAAACTTAAGAAATGTGGTAAATGGTGGCATGGTGCTTGTGTGTGAAAACCCAGTGGATATAAAATACATAGGTATGGTCGGCAGCGTCACAGAAAAACTTATTCTAATTCGCCCATTGGTCACTCATCTGGATCCAAAGTAGATCCATTAGTACCCTCCCGATTCAAAAAAAACTCTTGTTTTGGCCTGGTGAGACTTCCAAAATTAAAAAAAAAAACGAACAAAAAAAGAAAAGCTACCAGCGATAGTTACTTCCCCAAGATGCTTGTAGTACCTTCATCCCCCTGTAGTTCTTCTTCTGTATCAATAATGTATCAAGAGTCGGGGATCTCTTCGTTTGCTTCAGAAAGTAGTGCCGACGAAAATGTTTAATTAGTCAGCCAGAGTAGAATTAAGAAAGGTGACTTTGTAAGGTTTTAGGGGTTAAGAGGGGGGCACCTGTATACCAGTACTTGTGCATAATACAACAAAAAGGACCTGAAATAGAAGAGTTTGTTGTTCAAGGCTTAAGGTCTGTAGACTAAACCAAAAAACTTTTTAAGTTTTAAGAAAAAATTAAGCGTATTGCAAAAATAGCAAAATAGCTTTATGACTAAGTTTTGTTTTTATTATTATTATTATTTATCAATATTACTTAACATAGTTAAAAAAATCATCGTTTTATGATTAAGCTATACATATTTCTGTTTTAATACTTTATGTACCTTGGTATTGTTAAAATATAATTAAGATAATTAAGATAATGTCCACGTTAAATTACATTTTATAGGTGAACAATATAGGGATGTCTAACATAGAGTAGTGTGAAAACTTGAGTGCCCATTATTGGGACAATGAGGGCAACATATATAATTTATTTTCTAAAATATATCAGACAATATTTTACCACTACAGTTACATAATATTTTAAAGTAAAGTTAATAAAATGAATTTAAAAAAATCACGAGCTCAATATTACCTAGAGGTGAAAAAAACAAGTTTGTTTGCTTAAGGTGCCCATTATTGCTATCTTTAACCTACTTATATTTAACAAACACAATTTTTAAAGCAAAAAATTTAGATTTTTTACATTTTAAAAAACTTAAATGTGTGGTGTTATCAAAAAATATTAAAAATTCTGTAATAACCAGACATAAAATTTCATTAACCCACATATATACCTTTTTTCAAAGTAAAAACGTTGCACGTCACAATTTTTCTAAGGTGACGTTACTTATATTTAAAATTTCCAGAACGTCAACCTTAGAGTTCAATTGTTCCTAACACAGCAAATAATACGCTACCCATACGGAACTGCTCGATCTTCCATAGCCGTCAACATGGTATAATAATCAGAAAAATGAAATTATAATTATATTGGGAATTTTAGAATTATATTGATTAAATAACCAAAAACATTTGTTATTATTAATAATATAAATTTTATGAAATAACTCGTTAAGTCTAATATTCCACAAAATAATAATTTTAATTAAATAGATTAGACAACTGATACGGGAATACTTTAAATTTTAATGACAGTTCAGTGCGTGGCAGAATTGTTTAAAGCGTTGTCGCTTTTTTAGAGTAAGAATTTTGTTTATGTTTTGATTTCTTACACAATTTGATCATAATATATTATATATTAATAAATTGTATTTATAAATACATATTAAATTTAGATTAATAGCTTTAAAAACTAATTATTGTTGTGTATTGTGATTGTGCTATGCCAAAACAACTAAATAGTCTGTAGAAAGCTCAAAGCTGATAAGCTTTCATATAAGATAGATTATTTTAAACAAGAACTAGTAGCGGGACGTGTTTACTATTAATGCTCTAAAAGAGGTAAGTTTAAAATTTAGAATATACAATTTTGTATTAAAATGTTTTATTTATTTTACTGTGTTGCAGTAGTCTTAAAACTAAGTGTATTTACTGTTAATATAATAATTTGACAAATAGTTGACATTTTAAAAATTCTTCACTTTGTAACTATTCTGATGTTTTGGCAACGCTGTGGAGTTTTGACATCGTAAATCTTGAATGACGTGCAATCATTTTTATATGAAAACGTCTATAGTCATAACGCGCCATAATAAGTAGTCATTTCTGTTGGCACTCACTAAGTGCCATGCGTCGTTTTTTAATCACTTATTTATAATTGTAATATTATGTAATATTTTATAATTCCCACAAAAAAACTTACCTGTCTTTCTGTAACTTGTGCAGATTTGGGTCCCATACTCGCCATAAGCGCTACTGTTAAACTGACTACTCTACTTTTACTGTTATCTAAAGGATTATGGGTCCAAGGAGTTTGAGTAAGGTCTGTAGTTTTTCTGGCTGCATGAAAGTCCAAGTAAAATTTGGAACTTGTGAACAGTAAGGTGAAAAGTTGATCCACGTGAATGGGGAAAACTTCGTTCCACATTTGTCGACCTTCATGAGAAGATGTACAGGTGGCTTTAACATCATTTCTGTAAATAAATTAAAGATTTTGTTTTAGAAAATTACTGTTTCGGATAGATCAAGAGAGTTAAATAAAAAGTTTTTTATCAGACAATTGATAAATGTTGACCTATTTTGATATTAGCATTATTAATCCGTTCAGTAATTATCTATCACAGAAAGTTTCTGTTTTATTTAAACCACACGGGTAATTAGAATAAATACAGTAAGTTAAAAAGCAATAATTTATTATAATAACACGACAGAATGCTGAAGTCATTTAAACTTGACGTTAACTTCAATATAACTTTATTTCCACTGGAAGTCAACTACTCTTACTGGAATAGAAATCGGAATACTTTATAATTTTATTAAATTTGATTTTGTTCAATACATATTTAGTTGTTTTATTTTAGTTTTGTTGTTAAGATTTAGTTGTTTATGTACCAAATGGGACCATTCTTTGTAGACAAGGTGTAAAACAGAAAGTAAGATCGCCCATTTGGAGGATGTTGAAGAGATCTCGCTGCCCATGCATGAAAACAAAAATTACCTGAAATATCCGAATTCTTAATTTTGAATATTAGTAGTTATAATTAGTAATAACAATTAATTAATATTTATGGAATAATAGATAAAATTCGAAATCTACAGAATTAGTCAATTTAACATGTTTTGCTTAAACAGTTGTATCAGAAATGTTGCAGTTTATCATACCTCAGAACGATTAAGTACTAGACCAGGGCTTCCCAAACTGTGCGTCGCGACGCCTTAGGGCGTCGCTGCGTTGTGCCAGGGGCGCCGCGTGTCAGCGCGGACTTTTAATAAAGACAATATATTTATTTGATTTTAAGTGAGTATAAAATATATGTAATAAATCAAATAAAAATAACATTCGTCGATAGACACTTGAAATATCCAAAATTATTCAAAAAATTGTTCAATCCGAAAATTATCCGATGGTCCACGAAATTATCCGAAAATTGGATAATTATCCGGACACTGGCAACACTGGAGTCGAGTGTCGGTTTCCCTCCCCCATGTTCCCTACTGACGCGTGAAGCGTGACACGTGACGCGTGTTATGTCATTTAGTCAACCTTTTGTTTTGTTTTATTAAGCACGTGGAGTTTTTTCTATCAACAATTTGTATTTATATTCAAAAGAATAGAAAACGAAGTGAAGAATCAGGCGAGAGAAGTAATGTTAATGTAAGTAAAAAATAATAATAAATATAGAAAAAATGACGACCAATATTTGGATTTTGGATTTACCTGCGTTACTAAAGGGAGTGAAAAACTTCCAGAATGTGTTGTTTGTCACAAAGTGATGGCGATTGAAAGTATGCTTCATGATACACTAAAACGCCATTTGAAATCAACTCACAGTCATTTACAAGGCAAGCCAAGAGCCTTTTTTGTAAGAAAATTGCGAGAGCTAAAACATAAGACCACGGCTTTGGTTTCAAGAGCATCAATTCCTACCAAAGCATTGTTCGCCTATTACTTGGTAGCTTACTGCGTTTGCCAACTGTAAAAAACCACATACGATCGCTGAGGAACTGATCTTACCTGCAGCGGTTAATATGGTAACAGCGATGATTGGAGAATCGGCGGCTAAAGAAATAAAAAAAATGTACTTTTTTTCAAACAATACGGTTACTCGCCGTATTCACGACATGGCAGAGACAGAAGATATTAATGAGCAAATTATGGGGAAACTTTCAGGTATATTTGACATTCAACTGGACGAGACGACTGATAGTAACGATGATGCTCAATTGATATATTATGTACGGTACATACAAAAAACAAATATATGTGAGGATTTTTTATTTTGCAGAAAAATATGTGAAAGTTGTAAAGCAAGTGTAAAATGGACACATTGCGTCCTACATAGGGAGGCCTTAGCAGCAAAGAAAGTTACACCTGAATTAAGTGTTATGATGGATAGGATTATTAAATTGGTAAACTATATTAAAACACGACTGTGAAATCAATACTCTTCCATTAACTTTGTAAAGAAATGGAAGCCGAACAGACCTCTTTAATTTATTATTGTAACTCTCGTTGGTTGTCCAAAGGTAAAGTATTCGCACGTGTATACGAATTAAGACATGAACTTTACACGTATCTACATACAGAATCACATGATGATGCGCACCACTTTATTAATTCAGAGTTTATAATAAAATTAGCATACCTCTGTGACATATTTAACAAATTAAATGATCTTAATAAACCTTTGCAGGGAAACAATACTATATCCTGCAATTGGGAGTAAAATTAATAGGTTTCAGATGAAGTTGCTCTTATGGAAGAGAAAATTAGAAAATCAAGAAATTTGCATCCTGCTTTACAAAGTATTCTACAAAAAAAATTGATAGAAATCCTTGATCCTTCTTTAAAAAATATGTTTACACAACACATGTTATCATTGAGCGAACACTTTAAGAAATATTTTCCCGAAGATATGGAGCAATATAAATGGGTCAGATGCCATCGACACGTTCAGGAAGAAGAACAACTGACAGAATTGTCCTGTGATTCCAGCCTAAAGCTTCAATGCGACAAGGACATACTGTTTGAATTTTGGAGCTCACTTTCTCATGAATATCATGCATCAGCAGTTACAGTAATTAAAAAAAATTACAGGTCAAACATAAACTTGAAAAAGCAATGAGAGAGGCAATTTTTAAACTAGAGCCCGGTTTCATAAGCTGTGCTCAAAAAAGCAAGCACATCCCTCACATTAACCAGTCATTTACATAAATAAATATCCCTTTTTATTTTTGTGTCTATGTTTTGATTTCGTTCTTAATTTCTAATAAAAAATATAAATGTTCAAATAGTGTTTTTGTTATAACTACAACCTGTTGCTAGGCTATTACTAAAATTGGCAAATATTATTGGGTGTTGGGTTGAGGGAGCGTAACAAAAAAATAGCAAAGTCCCAAGGGCGTCACAGTACGAATAAATTTAAGAAGCCCTGTTCTAAACAAATTACGATTTTGTGGTTTTCGAAGGCCTTGAAGCGGCGACCTGAGAATACTTTTTGATTTTGCAATGAAAATCGAACTCACATCATTCAGCATCAAAAGCGGATACACTTACCTTTGAGCTACATAGGCCGTAGACTACTACTAAGAGTGGTTATTAAATAATGAGATTGACGAAAGATAGGTACGCATGCACCAAACTCCAGAAACCGATTACCACTTATCGTAAAAACTTCTCTTTAGTGCTCTAAATAAATTCGTATAATCGTAGCGTTCATTTTCATTACAGCGGTTTTTCTTATTCCCCGCATGAAATGGTAAGTGTGACACTACAATAACGATTTGTTCTTGAATTTCTTATGGCACTTAAAAATAACAATAAATTGCTACTGCAATTTATAACTTATTAAAAGCAGTGAATGAAATGTACGTCCATCGTGTGTCGTGTTTTCGGGCGATTAACGCATTTTCAAAATGGTCGAGCAGACGTTAAAGATGGTTCACGACCGGGTTGGCCTCCTTCGTTAAACCCATTTAACTAATCTACTACTTTACATGAAAAATGTTACATGACAATTTAAACATGCAAAAAGTGTGTGTAAATTCCGCATTGACTGCAGAGTGGTTTATAAGTACAACATTCCAGTGATAAAACATTAGCTTTCTTCACCACATTTTGCGGCGCGCAACTTCTACCTGTTAACAAAGTGTATCTGCATTAAAAGAAACTAGATTTGAGATTTAGGGGTGTACATTGAAAGTGTAAAGTTTCGAAAGTAAATATGGCTAGCGTAAAATAGCAACAACTCGTAACTTTAAAGTAAATATTCTTGTGTGCAAACAATTTGTATACCTAAAACAGGGTTTTATTATTCATTACCTAACTAAATTTTTGTTTAAGGTAGTAATGAACATCTATTTGGTAGTTACTCCTGTCGCCATGGAGAAAAATGCCACTGAACCTCCAAAAATCATACGAACAAGTTGAATTTGTTGTGAATGTCATTTTTGGGACTACAAAAAATATGAAAAAAAGTTTACCAGTCCTACCCCGGCTTCCCCCTAAAACCACCCCGCGTAGACCGGCAAATAAAGCAGCTTATATATGAGGATCTCTACGGGATGTTAGTTGGACAGAATACCAAATAAACAAATACGAAATTTATGTAAAACACAAAATATTCTATGATCGGGAAGACAATTGATAGTGTAAGATTCGCTCGAACGGCAAGAGATTTAAGACAGATACCATATACTAGAAACCAGATCATCAAAAAGACAAAAATGAGAATATAGCTGGCAGTCAACGTCACTACGACTACAGCCTAAGATCGGACCAGAACAGTCCCAAAGCCTATATAAGAAGAAGAGGGCTTAAGACTTAATGTTTGTGAGAAGTAATTTCTAATATTTCGAGTAAATCCCATTTAATTGGAATAATAACGAAAAAATGCAATATTTTGATTGTGAATAAATTAGCAATTAATTATTGTAAAATACGTGGCGTAACTCATTATTGTGTATTAATTGCAGCTAACGGAGTAAAATAGTGGCTAAGTCTCTTGGGGACTAGAAAACCGATGCCGATGTCGAGGCGCGAAAGTACGATCGCGTCTCCGATAAACTGGAGATGTTTACAGTCCGATATCCAGTTTCGATCTCTGTGTTCCCTTTGTATGAGATAGGCACAAACCCCCAGACCATCCTTCTTGGTCTCCGCCCGACCCGCGGAGATGACAATACAGCCGGGGCAATTTATCCCTGCATATCGCAAGAGGCGAGTAATGGAAAGGAATGAAGAGGTGTAGAGACGTCGTTCGAGGTGTCGGGTTTGTAGAAACGCACGCAGGGCGCTTTGGCGTTACGATCATAGGTCTACACTTAAGTATCCGAGACGAGCCTCTCGTGGGACTACTCTACTCTCATTCCACAGAACCAAGTTGAGGTTGAACGTGCTGCGTCCTTCATACACCCTTTCTCCATTAAGGGCGTGAGGTTACAACACATACCCACCTTGAGAGACTTAAAAAAGGCAAAAAAGAGCTCCTCGGCGGCTACCTGTCGACGTGCGAGGTCGATTGTCGACCTACGTTCACCTTTCCGCCCCGGTGGGGATATCGGATGGCTGTACGTACCGCAACACATGTACCACGGGGAGGCTGAAGCCCCGTAATGCTTCTTGCAACGCGCCACCCTCAAATGGTGTCGGATTCGTAGGGGCTAGTGGCTAGCTAAAGGTCGTATGCCGGAAGGCCAGGTAGACCAGGGTCCTGCCAGCATTTATTTGTTGGGGCGTATACGAATTTCGTCAACGACCACCCTTCTTAGTTGGTCCGTAGGTTAGTGGGGAAAGTGCACCCCCATAAATCAAAGCTATTGTACTGCGCTTTTAAAAGATCTTAATTTAAATAAATGATTTACAGAAATTTTATGTTTTGTAGCGTTTTTTGTGCTTTTGAGGCAGTTAACAAATAACTTTTAAAGACAAGTGAATTTTTTTGAACTTAAAAACAGATTACCATGTGTTAGCCAGTTTGACAACGAGAATTTACTGAGTAGAAGAACAATAATATACTTTATTCTTTTAATGTGAGTAAGTAGTTAAAATATATCATTAAACAAGATCATATTATAATACAGTAAAAAAATATTAAATGTAAAACATGTAAATAAATACTAAATACCACAAGGAATCTACGTTCCTGTAGTTGGCTGTATACCATATATTAAGAAATAATTAAAATCCTTTGTAAAAGGTATATATTTGTTAGACAAAACGTTTTCGCAGTCCATATTCCATCATCAGTGTCTAGTACATGAATGTAGCCACTAAATATATGGGTAAAAACCCGTTAACAAATAATTAGTTACATTTGGTTTACAGTATTTCTTATAAAATGTTATGATGTTAACGTTGGATTAGGTAACATGGCGACATATGACTCCACGTTGAAGTTGCTAGTCCTGAGACGGTGTGTCTACGAGGGCTTTATACTTTCTATATACTATAAATACTAAATACTTTCCCAAACAATTAATAAAACATGGAATTAAAACTTAGTAAACAAGTAGGTTAATAAATTGTTTGCACACAAAAATAGTTTAAAATTGTTATGTATCTGAGGAAGCTGATGTTTAAGAGAAATATGTCAAGTTGACTACATTCTGTAGAAATGAAAGACAATGCTGTGTTTTATGTGATATCAAAAATTAATTAGTAATAAATAGATGCGATTCCACTTATATTAGCAGCGTATGTGAGAAAATAAAAAGTTAGTGTTAGTAATTATTAGAACAATAATCAGTTTGTTACTGTAGCAAATTAGTATTAGTGCAGTTAAGCATAAACATTAATAACCACAGCAACTAAGCTCACATTCTGACCACAACTCACTTGGAATTTTCCAAAACTGGACTAGGCCCCTCAGATTCGGGAGTTGGTGGATTATGCGTTTCTTTCGTGAAGGCATCCTTCAAGAAAGAAAACGAAAAATTTTTTCTGAAAATTAAATGAAATGATGTACAAAAAGAACTACAAGCAATGGTAATTGTGTAAAATATTTACTGTGTTCTATGGTTACCTATGTCAAACATTACTGGATACTTGTATATGCACACATGACAAAACAAAAGTTAGTATTGACACAACAGCTGAGAAGAGGTTGAATTTTTTATATTATACAATCTAAATTTGGTCTATATACAGTTTTGAAAATGTTGAAACAGGTCGACTTTTATTCCAAAGAGATATCTTTTAACTATACAGACACCTGTCATTTGTCAACACCCTACCTTACAGTACCACACACCGTTAATTTTAAATAGGAAATAAACCGTGTGTGACATATCATTAGACAGGTATTTCTTCTTCTTCTTCTGGTAGCACTACAACCCGGGGTGGGTCTTGGCTGACTGCACAACCTGCTTCCATCTCGAACGGTCGTCCATGATGTTTAAGTCAGTGGGTAGCCCCATTGTTCTCAAATCTGACCATATATTATCTCTCCATCGCATTCGTTTACGTCCTAAGGGCCTTCTCCCTGTCGGGACTTTTTCCCAGATTAACTTGGTAAGGCGGTTATTAGGGAGCCTATGAACATGGCCAGCCCATCTTAGACGTTGGGATTTAATCTCTTGGACTACGTCGCTAGCACTATACATTTTGTTTGACCTCGGCATTTGTTCTCATTCGGTATTGATTAGTATTCGGATCGTGATAGGGACCGAAGATCTTTCTGAGGATTTTTCTCTCAAATCATCTGAGTTTACTTTCCATTGTTTTTGCCAGCGTCCACGTCTCACACCCATACATGAGCACCGGTCTAATTACTGTTTTATATATCCTGATTTTTGATGTTCGTGTTAGGCTCTTGGATTTAATAGTGTTGTGGAGGCTATACATACATCTGTTTGCTGCCTGAATTCTCCCTTTGATCTCTTCCGTGATATCGTTATCTGTGGTAATAGTTGCTCCGAGATATTTAAAACTCTCCACTCTTTCAAAGTTATAGGGGTCTATTGTTACATTTTGTCCTATTCTATCTTGTCTCTTTTGTCTGTTAATGCACATATATTTGGGTTTCTCTTCATTGACCCTTACACCGGTATTTTTTGTCTCTCTCTTTAATTTATTGAAGGTTTCTTTTACATTGGTGACGGTATTTCCTACAATGTCAATGTCATCCGCGTATGCTAGTAGTATTTTTGTTCATTTACTGTTAGTAGTTCTGTTCTAATTTGTGCGGTTCTTACTACTTTTTCCAGGATTATATTAAAAAGAAGAGGTGACAGCGCGTCTCCTTGTTTTAGTCCACTGTTTATTTCAAACGACTCTGAGAGCTTGTTACCTATCCGCACTCTAGATCTACAGCCATTTACACAAACTTTAACGAGCTGGATAAGTTTTTTTGGAACTGAAAGTTCTGCCATTGCATTCCACATCTGATCCATTTTAATGCTGTCGTATGTTTGTCGGAAATCTATGAAGAGATTATGAATGGTTCTATTGAATTCCCATCCTTTTTCAAGCAGCTGCCTGAGAGTAAAAATCTGATCTATGGTCGATCTATTTTTTCTGAATGCGGCTTGGTATTCCCCTATGAAATTTTCTACAAAAGGTGTTAGTCTACTTAATAGGATGTTCGATAAGATTTTGTACGCCGTATTAAGTAGGGAGATGCCTCTATAGTTAGAGCACTTGGTTTTGTCTCCCTTTTTATGGATAGGAATTATTACACTTTCGTGCCATTTTGTTGGTATTTTCTCTTCGTTCCATATAAGTGTTATTAGTTTGTGTAATTGTCTATGTAAAGTTTCTCCTCCGTACTTAAGAAATTCGGCTGGTATATTGTCAGAGCCTGGAGCTTTTGCGTTCTTCAATTTGTTAATTGCTTGCAATGTTTCGACTATTTTTGGGTCCTCTACCGGTAGGTCCACCCCAAGATATATATCCTCTCCATGTTCTTCATCTTGGTGTATATTAAGTAAATTTTTGACAGGTATTTCGCTGTAGAATTTAGGCATCCTTGATTTTTTTCATCTCCGTCATCTCCAACTAAACGTAAATCCTATGTTTTCTGCTAGTGTTAATGACACATTTTTCCGTAACGTCAAAAACTACATTTAAAGAAATTTACAAAAAGTTTAGTTATTTGAAATGTTGTTGGAAGCGGTTAAAGCGGTAACAAATAAGGTTTTTTATAACGTTTGAAACGTTTTATTATATCGTAGAACGCTTTGAAATTATGTAACGTTATAAACGTCACATCTTTATTAATTTATATTTAAATAACTATTAATATCTTGTGCTATTCGTACTATCTTATCCTCTGCCATTCTACTAATGTGTTCATTCCACTTCTGTTTCCGATGTGTCACCCATCCATTTATGTTTCCATGTTGCATGATCTTCTTATGTTTTCGCTTCTCTCCCTATCCAATAAACTTTCCTTGATATTTGTCGAAGAAAAAACCTGAGGAAATCATCATAGTGTGTAATAGAGCAAACAACGCCTCTGTGTATTACCATCGCCATCCTAAACCTCTTCTTCTTCTTCTTCATGTGCCTATCCGTTATGAATGTTGGCAATCAGCATGGCAATCTTTATCTTATCTGCAGCAGCTCGGGAAAGCTAAACAGATGCTGTATTGAACCAGATTCTGAGGTTATTTAACCTAGATATTCTTCTTCCTAGACCTCGCTTTCCAAATATTTTTCCTTGCAGGATGGCTTGGAGGGCATATCTGGATTCATTTCGCATAATATATCCGCAGAATTGTAACTTTCGAGATTTAATGGTGGTCAGTACCTCTTATTCATTCTTCTGATGACCTCCTCATTTGTGACTAGGTCAGTCTACGGGATCTTAAGTATTCTCCGATGTAGCCACATCTCAAATGCTTCCAGTTTTTGCACATATCTTCGTTCACAGTTCACGATTCAACACCATAAAAAAGGACAGAGAAGACGTAGTATCGCAGCATTCTTACTTTTGTATCAAGAGAGAGGTTGTGACTCTTGAAAAAGGCCCCCCATCCGATTGAAGGTGGATCTAGCTTTTGCGATGCGTGCTCTAATCTCCTGGTTGTTGGTCCATTCTTTATTCATTATGGTGCCGAGTTGACCTTATGTTATCCTTTTCTTGCTAATTATCATAAGTCAACAATAAGAGTCCATATTGTTGACTGTAATACGTGATTTTGTTCATAAGAACTTGTAGGTCTTCTAAGTTGTCCGCAAATAGTATGCTGCCATCTGCATATCTGATGTTGTTTAGCCGGTAACCATTTAGTAGAATACCTTTTCCAGTTTCGTGCTTCGATAAATATTCTTTCAGAGTACAGATTGAAGATTAGAGGAGACAAAATACAGCCTTTCCTCACTCCACGCATGATTTTCATATAGTCAGTGTGTTCACCTTCAACTCAGAGATTTGCTGTCTGATTCCAGTAAAGATTTCTAATTATTTTTGGATCTTGGTTGTTAATTCCTGCTTCTTTTAGTATTTGCATCATCTCGGCGTGCTGGACTCGATCAAACGCTTTCTCGTAATCAACCAGACATGCGTATACGTCGCAGTTGACGTCTCTGCATGTCTGGAATAAGACTTATACTGAGAACAAAGTCTCTCTAGTACCAACAGCATTTGTGAACCCGAACTGGTTGGGGGAAATTTGACTTTCACAGAGCTTGTAGAGAATCTACAAGCTAGAATCTTATGAATTATCTTTATGAACAATTTTAGAAGATGACTTATGAGGCTTATAGTATGGTAATCTTCGCATTTTTGGCTCCTGGTTTTTTGGAAGTGCAATAAACTCAGATTACAGCCATTCGGTTGGTATTTCTCCAGAGTTGTATATGTTTTTGAATATCTTTGCGATTATTGCTATTGATTCGTTGTCCATTAGTTTGAGTAGTTCTGCTTATATATTATTAGGGCCTGCCGCTTTGCCATCCTTTAACTGTGTTATTGCGGAATAAACTTCCTGCTGTAATATTCTTGGTCCATCATTTACCTTTTCTTCTAGCTCAAAGGTGTTATCTCTTTGATCTTCAAATAGTTTTTCAAGATATTCTTTCCACGTTCTTATTTTACTCTGTTTGTCCAAGATGATGTTTCCGTCAGAATCAGTTATATTTCCTTTCTGCTTTCGTCTTACTCCTCCTGTGAGTTCTTTAACTTCCCTATGTACATTGTGACTATCGTACTTTGACTGCAGAGTCTCAATTTCTTCGCATCTTTCCCTTGCTTCTTTTTCTTTCGCTTCTCTGATTTTCGTTCTTATTAATATATTTATGGTTTTATATTTGTCTGGGTCATTTTTGAATTCTCTTCTCTCGTCTATTAGTTTCAGGATCTCATCTGTCATCCATAATTTTGTTTTCGTTAATCTATGTCTTTAAGTGTTTATCCTTTACATTTTACACTATTTCTGATTTGATCGTTTGTTCTAATTGTCAGTTGCTCGTTTAACGTGGCTCGTTTTACGTGTAGGTCCCAGTAATTTTTAACTATTTATCTATACACCTAGTACCTAATTGATCTACGTCCTAGAAGCCTCCGCATACGGTTCGGATGTGCCAAACATATCACCCTTTTTCACCTCTGACAAAAAACTCTATTCTCCAGAGATCTGGTTGAAATCGGCATTAGTACAACTTCGTTAGTTACCCCGGTCTAAGAGCACCATAAATGTATCAGAGAGTCTTTCCTTAATTCAATCTAGTTTTGTAAGGAACTAAGTTCCAATGGTAAATAGGTCGACGGGCCTTAGTATTGCGCAAAAGCCTTTATTTTTTACCAGTGAACTAATCGTGAGGTGTTGACGTGTTGAACCGTATAATATGCTCTATTATCAGCTTTGATGAGTTCCGTTATCTCGATAATTAATTGTAATTTAAATTTATTTATTACTGAACAAATATTTGAAATTTTCAACTCTCTCAAAATTCTTATTGATTGATGGATAACGCTTCTCCTATGTGATTCCTCCCCATTAATAGGGAATTCAGCTTTCATACATCCAGTACTAGGATGGTGAAATTGTTGTAAGAGACTGTTTTCTAATTCTGAGCACAATGATGTCTTCAGCATAGGCAATGAATTGTGTTTTCTTAACTTTTGCTTTCGTTGAGTTATTTTAGTAAAGTTTACTTTACGAAGAAGTATTGGACGACGCAAAAGATGGAGTGACAATCTTCCATAGAGGTATTAATCCGCCAATGAACACGCAGAATTGCTTATAAATAGGAAAAGAGAAGAATTAAAGTTTACTAATTTTCATCGTCTTATACAATGCCATATGCTTATCGGTAATATATAAATAATTTATGCACAAGAAGGCTGTAAGAGAGGAAAAAAGCACAATCTTGGATAATAATATTAATTTATAGCAGCGAGTGTAATACTAATATGTACTATAAACTTAAGATTGGGAGTACTATGTGTATGTAATTTAAAAACTCAAAGAGACAAAAACATCGGGTTCTTACATTTTTTTAATAATTAGTGTACCATAAGCGGAATGAAAACATGCTTACGCTACACATTGTTTTAATGATGTAAAAAAATTTGTATATTTTGTTTATAAAAAGTATACTATACATTAAATAAAATGTAGGTACTTACTTGATAGGTTTCTCTACTTCAGATTCGGAATTGTCAGTGGCATCAGTAGGATTTCGTGAATCTGATCCCGTTCGTTTGTGACTAACATGTGGCACTTTAATTTCATCAGTGTCGGCTCTTTCCGATGTCCCCGTGGACGTTTGCTCCATTGCGCCTTCTGGTTGTCCTTGACTTTCTTGCTATCGATACAATTAGACAATTTATTAATCACGTCAGTATCATCGTTACAAGTACGAATAAAAATAAATTAGTAAACATACAGATATTGGATATTAAATGGTGGAATTAAAAAGTCGATAGATGATAATATTTTTTATGAAAGTATGATAGTTTTCAAAGCAAGACTTATAATTAACGTTTTTTTAGCGATGTAAACATTTTTAAAGATAAACCACATAATTATTACATAAATATTATCATATCCTGTTTCTAGTCAAATCAGGAGTAAGCGTCTGTATACACAAAAGCTAATAAAATTCGAGACGATGTGTAAACGAATTAGCTGGAGGGAGATTTTATGAGGTCCCCGCATAAATGATATCATGTCCAATTTCTAAATAAATATATTAGTACAGGAGAAAAATAAAAATGAAAATTTTGGAAGACAAAAATGATGCTGAAGCATGCACTTTACTGTCACAAAAATAAGGTGAGTCTAAGATTGAATTTACATGTAGGACAACGCTAGTAAGTAGTAAAATAAGTTTAATAAATAAAACACCATTTTCTTTTTCTTTTACTTCTTTGGGTGTAGACATAACACCGCCTATTTTTAACGTTTCTCCAGTAAGTTATCGTTTTCGTGGTATTCCTATCATTTGTTGCGAAACGGCGTCATCCGAGCCATTTTTTTAGGCTTGGAAACACGAAAAAATCGCTGGCGGCAAGATCTGGGAAATACGGTGAGTGTTCAACCAATTCATAACCCAATTCGTGAAATTTTGCCATGGCGACGGCCGATCGGTGAGCCGGTGTATTGTCTTGGTGAAATAGCACTTTTTTGCGTTCCAAACCGGCGCGTTTTCGACGAAATTCGCGCGTTTTCGACGAAATTCGGCATCGAATCGATCCAATAATGCTGCGTAGTACTCACCATTGATTGTTTTTCCTTTTACCAAGTAGTCGATATGGATGATGCCCTTCGCATCCCAGAAAACAGTCGCCATCACTTTGCCGGCCGAATGTGCAGTCTTTGCCTAAATCGGCGAAAAAAATCCTTCAGATGGTGCCGTATCATCGCCAAAAGCGTCTCCGAAGTGGTCACACGGTTTTACGTTTGATTGATTGCCAGCAAACGCAACACTCATCGCGCGGATAGCTTTTTCATGTCCAAATGATGGTGCATGATGAGGTGTAAGCGTTCGTAGGAAATGTTTAGGACCTCTATTAATTCGCGGAGCTTAATTCGACGATCTGCCATAATCATGTCATGGACTTTGTTTATCATTTCCAGCGTGGTGACTTCATTTGGGACGCGCATGATCAAAAACACTCGCACGACCACGAACAAATTCAGCTTTCCAAAATTTTACTGTTGCTAACGAAGGTGCAACTTTACCATAAACTTCGTCCAGGTCGGCTTTGATTTGCACATTCGTTTTACCCTTTTTGTGGAGGAAATTAATCAACGAACGATACTCGACTTTTGACTTTTTCCATTTCTCCGAAAACACAAAATTTGCTTGCTTTTGACGGCAGTAAAAAACAAGTCATGAATGGCAAATTCATGTGGCGAAACCAATTCGGTATCAAGTAGCGCCATCTATCAAAGACTAGTTTAATATCAATCTTTTCTCGTACAATCGTACAATAAAAGGGGCTATTGGTAAACTATTCTTTATGTCAAGCTTTTAATTGTATTTACAATCTTTATCAAGAGCTTCTAAAAAATACAAAAAATCTAACAAAGTGAAACTAGAAAAATAAATTTTAACTCACCAAATAAAATTAGTAGTTTTGTTAGTAAATCTAAACTGCTTAACATGTTAAAAAACTATTTTAAAAACATATCAAATGAATGTTTTTCTAAATTTAGTAATTTTGAAAAAACTTTTAACAAAAATAATTGAATTTGTAAATAAGTGAGAATAGCGACCAATTACATAAAGACCAATTATATTAAATTATATATTTATAATTTAATATATCCCGTTAGTTACCATACAGAGTTTTTGATCCACTTTGTATTATTTTTATTTCTCTAATAACAACATCTTTCTCTTGGATAACAAATAAACATTTTAGGAAAAGATTAAACATATTTGTTATTACTTTTATATTCTTTTATTTTTGTATGAATCCTATACATAATATCCTTGAGTTTTCCTTGTCACTCAGAAAGAAGTAAGGCCATTTTTATTCAGTTAAATGTTTATCTACTTTTTTTTGTATTTCCTTTCCTTTAAGATACTTCAGACCCGGTTTTACGTGAATATCTTTAAACCTGAGTTTCTGCGTGTAATCTAAATTCTAAGACAGTAATAGGGTACTAATAGGCCCCATGAATAAAGTTAATATATGGGTATATTAGTCCTAGGACAGGTGTATATAAGGTATAATCAAATAAACCCCCTCGTATCAACTGAGAACATGGCATAGGGGCTACATATTTGGCCTTAGCTGTAAGTTGTTGTAACTTGAAATACACTCATAAAAAAACGTGCACGCACAATTGATTCATGATATAGTAAGATTTATGATGCGACTACTGCACTCAGATATACCGAGTTGTAACAAAGGAGTAGAAAGCTGCAGTCTTACAAAAGATGCCATAAAACGATTAGAGGTATTTTAAATGTGGTGCTACCGACGTATATTAAGGGTCTCACATATACACCAGACAACTATACTATTCTCCAGACGCAAAGAAAATGCAAAAAAAAATTTAACACCTAAAAAACAGAAAATTGGCTTACTCCGGCTACATTATGCGCAATAGTAAATACCGACTTGCACAGTTGATTCTAAAAGGCAAGATTCAAGGCAAGAGAGGCCCTGACGTAGATGTAAATTCTGGCTGGCCAATCTTAGAAAATGGACTGGTCTAACGTGAACTGATCGAGCTGATGTGAATAGAATAAGACGGGGTCAATGTGGTCAGCAACATCACGAGAATATAGGCACCCTTAGAAGAAGAAGAACACTATCGTATCATATCCAATGATGCATGGCACAGGGGAAGAAATGTTAACTAAGCGATGCCCCAGAGAGCTACCGAACTCCTTGTCTGAAAGTATTTCAACTCAGAGACAAAAAGACATGGCTTGGAAGAGGTAAGATAAATATATATATATATATATATATATATATATATATATATATATATATAATATATATATATATATATATATATATATATATATATATTATATATATTATAATATATATATTCAGAAAAGGCATCCGTATCTGAAATCCTCTTCCAAGCCATGTCTTTTTGTCTCTGAGTTGAAATACTTTCAGACAAGGAGTTCGGTTCGGTTCAGACATAGGTATATAGGTATATGTAGGTATATATATATATATATATATATATATATTATATATATATATATATATATATATATATATACCTACATATACCTATATACCTATATATATATAGTAGTTTTGAGTTTCTTGAACCGTATTATATATATATATATATATATATATATATATATATATATATATATATATATAATTATATATATATATAGTGAACACATAATGCGCATTGTCTTCGATGGATGGCAAAGACAAATAATATCAGTCGGAGGTCGAAAAATCAGCAAACTCCGCTAGGCTGACGACACTTTAATACTAGCATCATCAAAAGACGAATCTAAACACATTAAGAACAGACTAGATACTATTAGTCATGAATAAGGACAAATATTTTTTGCATAATATGAATGCAAAGAAGACCACGGTGATGATCATTGCTGGAATTAAAAATAAGAATTAGAAGCTAAGAAATGTAGCAGGATATGAAATGGTAAGCCGTTTCAATTACGTGGGGTCTGTTATCACAAACAATGGAGGATGCGAAGAAGAAATACGTCGACACTTACTAGAACTTACTAAAATCTGGAGACACGGCCATAACTAAGAAAAGTAAACTACGCCTAGAATGAGCGTTCATTTTTTCTATCGCTACCCATGCGGCACAAAATTTGGACTATCAAAAAGTCTGGCTTATAAAGTATAATGACCTTTGAAATGTGGGTAGAATGATGCGCATATCCTGGTTAATACATCACACATATATATCTCGATATGAACAGAACTCCACATCATCACTAAATCGTCATTTCGATGGTCAAACCAAATAGGGTACCACCGGTTACGTTCTCTCTCTCTCTCTCTCTCTCTCCTCTCTCTCTCTCTCTCTCTCTCTCTCTCGCTCTTTCTCTCTTTATATCTCCCTACCTCTCTCGCTCTCTCTCCTTAACGAGCAGACCACACACAGAAGAGAGAAGAGTGGATAGCAATCATACGTCGAATACAATAACGTCACAAAATCTTTACGAAGGATAAATGTTCTTTATATATATATATATATATATATATATATATATATATATATATATATATATATACTTGTATACGTGGAAATAATAGTGTAGTTCTTCGAAGAATGAACAAAGAACGGGAGCTGTTGATCACCATCAAGAGAAGAAAGTTGTAATATCTTGGTCATATAATGAGAGGGAAAAAGTACCGATTGCTCCAGTTAATTATCCAAGGAAAGATTCAGGGCAAACGAAGCATGGGGAGAGGACGTATATCTTGGCTGCGCAATTTAAGAGACTGGTTTCAGTGCACATCTAACCAATTATTTAAAGCAACAGCTTCAAAGATACGAATGGCAATGATGATTGCCAAACTCTGTAGCGGAGAAGGCACTTGAAGAAGAAGATTACGTATATAGTATACTCTTGATTTTAAAAAATACGAACTGATTTAATTTCAAAACTTCGTAAATATTCTCAGCTGAAAGAGAGAGATATTGTCGATCCGAGACGGAGAGGGAGGAAGACTTACAAGCGTTAATCCTTCGCATGGCGACGCAGGGTTGCCAGATTGGGGGATTTTCCCCCAAATTTGGGGTATTTTTTCTTGCTTGGGGGATTTTTTGGGGTATACACTGAATGTGGGATTTTTCGAAGGAATTTTTTTTCACTCTGGGGTTTTTTGGGGTATTATTTAGGGCTTCAACAACATAAAACAAGAGGTTTGTTTTATTAGCCATTTTCTCGAAATAACTTATTTTAATGAGTTTTTGCACCAAGCCCACGATATTAGTATTTAGTATTAACATTTAGTATAAACTGGCATAGGTCGCTGTTTGTAAATTAATTTAATTTGGTTGGGACCCAAAATGAAGGGTATACCTGCTGATAAATTTAATGTTTCTACTTCCTTTTTTGTATTTTTCCTTTTTAATTAGTAAATACCATGTATGTACATGCAAAAGTATTTATATGTTCGCATTGGTACATGTTCTTATATTTAATATTGTAGCAAACAGTAATTTATTATTTATTGTGGCGGGAATCGAGCAATCCAATCAAATCTGGATAAAAAAATCCAAAGCCTCTATTCTCATTTGTTTCGAGTTTCTGGCATATGGTATATAATCTGTGTATAATATTAATATACACGGAATAACATATGACGGAATATCGAAACAAATGAGAATAGATGAAAGGTCCTATAAAAAAATGATTCTATGCATAAAACATATTATATAACATATAACCAACTTGCAAAATGTAAATATTAAAATTTTGAGGGATTTTTTTTAAATGTCATTTTTGGTGGAATTTGTAGTTCAGGTTGGGGTAATTGTATAAATAGGTCTGGCAACTCTGTGGCGACGGTCGCCACTTCAATAACCGGTTTGACCCGCCGCAGAAACGTTCTGATTTGCCACTAGCCGTTATACTCATCAAACGATATCGAAAAATGTAAACAAATGCTACAAATATACAATATCAATAGGTATATCACTGTAGTACTTACTTCTGAAAATGATTCAACTGAGTGTCTAATTGAAAGTTTGTCCTCTTCGTTGGCAGGAGGTACGTAGTCTTCGTCGTCACTAGTTAAACCTAATTCATTGCCATAAGATTGATGAACCTGCCAACAAGCAAAATTAATTAAATTATATCTGTTTCATTTCAATGTATCAAAATTAGACAAAAGTATATATTTTTTAATTGAGAACTCAAATACACCTTAAACGACGAATCGATTCCACATGAAAGTCCATTTCTAAAATGGTTAATAGAAAAAAGACCTACTCGCAATCTGCTAATACTAACTTGATGATCGATTTCAAGCACTAGAATTCTCTGTTCATGGTCAGTTCTCCAATAAGGTTACTCAAGAGATGAAAGTACAAGAGATATGGTTAGCCTTAAGCATGTATATTATGCTTACCACTGACCATATCTCTCGTACCGTTACCTGTTATTGTAACACATAGCTTTTTAGAAGAAAAAACTTCATTCAAATTTATTTTGCTATATATACACATATAACAATAAGATATAAACTGGAAGTCGATGAAGTTGGCATTGAACAAGTAATGGAAACTAGGAATTACACTATCCAACTACGGAGACGTCCACAGAGTAAGTAGATTAGCAGGATGCCTTAATAACACTATATGACGTAACCGTCACATTAACTTAATGAAAAAGTGTGATGTAAATAGCAGAATGAAGAATTACAGGAAACAAGCTGACAGATCGAATAAGGAGTTACAAGATCAGAACAACACGTAATGTATGGGTTATAAACGAGTGGACACTAAAGAGAAAACAAGAATGGAATAATCACATCAGAATGGCGAACAAAAGAGTCGTTAAAATATCAAGATACAAATCACCACGTGGTACAAGAAGTATAGGCCGACCGCGCAAGAGATGGAGCGACAATCTTTCATAGAAGCTACAACTCGCCAATGAACAAGCAACACTACTTACAATAAGGAAGAAGAAGAAAAAGGTCAGTATGGCTACATTTTATTAAATAATGTTTCCCTAAATGAAATAGTATGATGTTGCTTGATAGTTCGACGGCCTTCGAGGGATAGACTGGGTGTGAAGTCTTGCTACAACTTCGAACAATTCAAAATATGGAAAGCCATAACATGGACGAATGGATTTAAGGGAAAGAAGAAGACCGACGGGGAGAAAACTGAACGTTTCGGAAAAATCAGAAAAATATGAGAACGTAAATAAAGACCACGGTCGGCCAGATAGCCAAGCGGTTCAGGCGCCAGATTCTCATTCGCTTCACTGTCGAATGGTTAAGTAGATCAAGTAGATGTTGGTTCAAGCCCTGACTCGATGTAAATAAAAAACGGGTGTGACAGTCCAGTGGGACTGCCGGTAGAAGTTAAACTTCTATACACGCGCCGTTAAAAATTTGTATGGGAGTTAATCTGCACAATCATTACATATGTAATGCTATAGGTAAGAGAGAGCAGAAAGAGAAAAATAATTAGTTATATTATAGGTATATGGTGCATCGTTTGCTGTATATAAATATTTGAACTGTAATAGGAATATAGTAAATGAAGGATTGTATCAATATTTTAATGAAAATATATATTTTTATTTTTATATATGTATAAAAGGAGTTGAATGCAAAAATTTTTTTACACATACTCTGCAGTAAAATTCATTGTTTATTTTGTTATTAATATAAAAATTACAATACAATAAATACACTGCAAGTATTTAAAACTGCCAATATATATAACTTACTTTACGAAGATAAAAATAAAAAACCAACAACTCGGATTATGTTGTAAATTTTCATTTAATTTTAAAATTTAGCATTTTTGCGTATATTACATATATTTAATAAGATTAACCTGAGGTTTTTAAATATTTAAAAAATAAAAAAGGAAATTCATCATTGGGATTCGAACTCACAACCACCAGCGTATGAACCAAACACGTAAAGCATTTGCCAATTAGACATGACACTAACGGATTTCAAAATTAACAGTTCTCGGTCAAACAGTAATTATTTTGAACTACAAAAGCCTAAAATAATTATAAACGTTTAATAAATAATACAAAACATATCACATAAATAATAATATTAATACATATTATATTATATATATATATATATATATATAATATTATATATATATATATATATTATATATATATATATATATATATATATATACAGAGGAACATTTTTATTCTCGAGAGAGGAAGAGAGAGAAAATATATCTTGTGTCTCTCTCTTACTCATTATCGTACATATGTAATGGTTTCACAGATTCACTCTTGTGCAAATTTCCAACGCCAAACGAATCTGCGGCTTAGACTAGAATATGCTGGTGTCTGATCGGTCTATGGTGGAGCAGTACGGCAAGAGATAAGGACTTGCGGCTCGGTGATATCCTACATATGTCCCTATCGGAAGGACCTGGTGTCTAAATAACAGTATATATATATATATAATATATATATATATATATATATATATAAAGAACACGAAATATGAAATGGGGGAGCTAAACATGAAGCAACTATAAAATAACAAGAAAAGAAAATAAAACCTAAGAGCTACAAGAAATTATATTCCAAGAAGAATGATCAAATACAAAAAGTGATATCTAAAAGGTCAATGTTTACGTTTGTGTGTAATAGATTAATCTTTAACAGACAGAGACGATAGTGTGAGAAATGGATGACATATCAGGATGGTGGGTGAACAGTTAAAAATCTTCTTCTATTGTCTCTCGGCTTCCATATAGCCTACGTTGCTTCATTTTACATTAAACAGTGCATTTGAGTAATAACATTAACATTTAGTGACAATTACGCAATAACACTGAGATAATGGTATTGTAAATAGATGATTATGCATTAACTTTTAATATAAACATGTTAAAATACACCTACTTCAATATCTTTCAACGCTAGACGATAATACGACTTTTTTCGAAAGTGAAATATGGAAAAAACAAACTCCAAAAACCACATATTCTTTAAATGTAAACAAACACAACACTTTCTATTATGTGTAAAACAATGGAGGTTTTTGAATGAACACTGGATTAAAAATATAAAATGAGATAATAATATATAAAAAATAATTACACAGTTATACTTTTTGTTAAATAATGACTTTGATAAAATAAACTTACAACACGTGAAAAATTACCTAAACATTTGACTCTTCTAGTACACTAAATTTATTCGGAGTTTTGTCTTTAAATTCATCACCAATAAAACATTTCATATTAAATAGGTTCCGAAGAAAACAGGAATAGTATTATTTATAATCAAAATCACTATTTCTATGTAAAAATTTTAGTAAACATTGTTTATATAACAGTATATGGGCAAATCCTCATTATTTTTAACTTCATAGACGCCTTGACTTATTATCCTTCAGACGATTTCCAAATGATTTGTTGAATTTGTTTTCAATAAATATACTATTTTGCAGCATATTAGAATACCCTTAGGCTATTAATAGTTTGTAAGACGAAGAATTGTTAATTCCAATAAAAAACGCGGAATTTATATTTCCCTACATAACATTTTCAGCATTCAGCTGATCGTCCTGAAATGTTTACTGAAGTTGCTTTTTATATAGATGAGTGTAACATATGAGTATAAAAGGTGTGCCACTAAGGATAATAAAACTAATAAGTGTAGCAAACATTTTATCAATTTCAAAATTTGTCTCAAAAAGTTTTCCCTCTATAACTTTTTCAGCGGACTCACAATTTCAAGTACTTTCTACACTAGCTGACGAAATAAAAAAAAATAAAACTAAAAGTAAGTACATTCTGACTCTTATTGTAGCAAATACATGCTCTGATAATAATATATATTTTGTGAGTACAAATGGGTGTGACTTTAAAGTTACAATGGTCCATAATATATAACATATTTTTTTTGCAGATGGTAACAGAAATGGAACCTATTTGTATAAAATCATTTTATGGCAAAACAAGAACTGAATAATGTTCAAATTAGAGACATTTGTAGATAGATATATAGATAGATAGATAGGTTTATTGACAATTTTTACATAGTAAACACTACATGTCATGTCACAATAAAAAATAATTTACTTTTGTATACTAAGAACTAAGAAATAATACAAGAACATATAATAAAACATATACAGTGAAAATTAGATATATAAAAATTATAACAAATAAGAAAGAAACATTTCAGTAAGGCGTAATATAGTTTTCATTAAAAACGACCACACTAGGAGCTCAAACAAACAAATTCCTGTATACTATAGAAACAGTGTTCCAGCAGGAAGTGTTTTGCTAGTTTATAAAATTGTTTAGAATTCATTGCCTTAATATCAATATTTTTGTTTAAGTTTAAAAAAACAATTATACAGATTATAATCTATTGTATTAAGTTGTGTAACACACAATCTGGAATATGGTATAATGATATGACTTTTATTTCTTGTATTGTAATGATGTTGATCAGCATGTGATTTTACATCTTTTATATTATTATGAATAGTAAACAAAGTTTCAAATATATATATTGAAGGTAAAGGAAGAATGCCATACTTCTTAAATAAGGGTTTACAGCTGGCGCGATATTCTGCCGAGTCAATAATTCGGATTGCTGCTTTTTGAAAAGTGAAAACTTTATATGCATAGGAAGAGTTTCCCCAAAGAAGTATGCAATATGTCAGGATACTATGAACTATTCCAAAATAAACTGACCTAAGAATATCTCGACTCAGAGAAGTAGCCAATCTGCGCATAGCAAAAATCTGTGAGGCGAGCCACCTACACAGTCGTTCAATATGGTGCGACCAGTTCAACCTTGTATCCATAGTAACACCTAGTAACTTTACTGGTTCAGATGGTGTAACCCATATATCAGAACTAAATACGATTTTCTGGGTTTTCTGCTCGTTTAACTTAAGTTTGTTACAGTTAAACCAGGATTTAGATTTTTCTAATATATCCTGACTGTAATCAGTTTTACCTCTACATAATAAGGTTGTGTCATCTGCAAAAAGAATGCAAAAGATATGCGTCTGAAAATTCCATTCGAGAATCCGACAGTGACGATGATAAAGTGGTACATATTTCAAAAAATGTTTTAAAAAGT